AGAAATGGTTTCCGTATTTTGGTAAAAACGAAAAAAATTTCATGGCAAGGTTGACATTTGCACGGAATTGCTCATATACATGTTTTAACATAAGATTAAAAATATAGTTAACTCAAAAAACTCCCTCTTAACCTATTGACTCACATTTCAGTGATTTCGAAGCTTACGGGTTATGACTTTTTTGCTATTGAACATAAAATAAGATATTTCAAAGAATGTTTAAACAACATCCATAGAAAAACAAACAAACAAACAAACAAACAAACAAACAAACAAACAAACAAGCACGCAAGCAAGCAAGCAAACAAACAAACAAACAAATAAACAAACAAACACGCACACAAGCAAACAAACAAACAAACAAGCAAACAAAAAACAAACAAACAAACAAACACTATAGTCATTTACAGGTTTCCAACATTCCTCTTTTGTGTTCAACAGAAAAACAGAAACTCAAAACAGGTTTGGAACAATAAATGATGATATGACTCCTTTTAAATGAACTATCCCTAAGCATTAAGGCTGTACCAGTAATGGAAAATAAATTATCTCAGAAATCTTTGAAAAGATATTGATTTCTTTGATAATTTCTCTGATAATGCTGAGAATTAATGTGGATTTATCGTTGTAAAAATTATGGCATTTGCTTCCTTGTTTGTTTCAGCCACCTCAGGGTGGCGCTATAGTATCACGTAGTCAGATTTTTAGACTGACGCCAGAAGATCTTCATTGCAGATTTAATTTGCCTGTGGATCAACCAAGATCCCCATACTTGCAGGTATGCAGATCAACCATGCGCAATTTGTTAAAAAACAAACAAAAAAAACAAAAAAACATGCGCAATTTGTTTTGTTCACTCAAAAGTCGATGTCCCTACCTTAAACTATGCTTGGTTTCGTTCACATCAAGTGTCTTAAACTCTTGGATGGATGTCCGATATAGCCTATTTTAAAGAATGTACACCTTACGTCATACACAATTTTGCAATATTGTTTAGTGAATCTTCGTTGTCACAATCTTAAACACGACGACTTTCTTCCTTCATGAGGGACCTTAACTATTAAAGCCTGCCATTTTGAGGGATGTAAACAAAAACAATGGTCCAAATCATATTTCCTGTCTTACATTTTTATTTTCTATAGCCTCGGAGAATAAAAAAAAAGCCATATATTGATAAATAATGTCATGATATCTGTTTTAACATGAAGTTATGATTGAATTGCCTCTTGTTACAGTTATGATAACAAACAGGAAATGTTTATGGGCCAATGACAGGACCACATTGAAATGATCTATACAGTTAAACCAACTTTATTTTAAAGGAATGAAAATCAGGCTATGAAGGATACAAGTGTATATTTTACTAAAAGAAGACCCCCTAGTTTTCCCAATGGTTTTTGTGATTTCTTACGATAAAAATGACTTTGTAAAAAAAAAAAAAAAGATTTTGTAGTGGTAATTCCCAAAAATTTGCAGACAATTTTGCAATTAAAAAAACGAAATAAATATAAAATGAACAGATACAAAAGCGTGAACGCATATAGTCTACATTATTATTTATTTATTTTTGTAAGGGGAAACGTGCTCCACAATAGTAACCATAGTTTTGTCCCAAGGTGTGCGTTTATTTTTTGTTCGGTCAGTAAACTTACCATCAAACAACTTTCACCACTTATGGGCATCTCGATGTTAACATTACGTTTGTTTATCCTGCCGAAACGCCAGTAAAGACTTGGATTATTGCAAAACAAGATTTCATTGCAGTGATTACATGGCAGGGTACGTTATTTATACTCTCCTGGATTTTGTGTAAGTGTGGCGGGTTTTTGTATAACACACTACATATTTAAACACATAGCTAGGCCGTTATATAATCTTTATTTGTGCTGACAAACCAAACTATTGCGTTCAGTAGTTACATACAAATGTACACATGGATGTATTAAATGTATGTTTATTACATACTGCCTTTTCATCCGTTTTTTAGCCAGTTTCTAGACTTCCCCCCCCTTTAATGAGCAAACATTTTATTGGAAGCTTATTTGGAAGTCTATAAGCTGTTCCGTATGTTTTATTTTGGTCAATTTAAACAATTATAAACAACATAAAACAGAAACCTTTTGATGCTCTGATAGTGATTCCTATGTAGAAGGATCACTTCCTGCCCTCCATCTGAATTCCATGTGTCATAAATGACATCGTGAAAACAACATACATGTATAGTGAGTAGATTAAAATTTTGGGGTGAACCGTCTCTTTAAGTGGATTATAGCCTACTGTTGTTTATCAACATACACAAGACATTTTTACAAAAACTCACCACAACTACCCACATAGTAAGTATACTGTGACCACAGACAATGAGCGGATGACTTTCTCACAGTCTTCTAAGGTGAGAAACCAAACTGAGAAATGGTTAACAATTTCAACCAAACAACAATGGTCTATATTTGTATACGTTGGGCAGCTGGTAATGCGTTTGTCTCTTACATGGGGCTTGAGTCAGGTGCTATTTTGATAAAAGCGAGACTGACGAAAACAGCACAACACTGAGCATTAAATAAGTTGGTAACATGAAAAACAAACAAAGTAAGTCATTTCAAAAGATTTATTTAGTTTTGTATAATTGCATACATAAACAGTTAAGACAATTATTATGACCAGGATCTCTTTAAGCAAGATAAAGGATTATGTTACATTTAACCGCATGTTAGTTGACAGTAAGCTTAATGTAAAGAACTCTCATTTCTTAAAGTATTTACAATGCATAGAAACTGATATTGTGGTCAAGATATTAAAACCAGAATGGCTACATCTTATAAAAAAGAGTGAAAGTGATTTTGTCTCTTTAAGGGAAATCAAGAACAAGAAATGGCAAACTTATCATTACAAAAGTGGAAGTTTTTGTACATTAAAGACCGGGTAAAGTAAGATTTAAGTAAGTGTTCTGAGTTTGTCACACAGCAGAAAATGTTATCAACCAGTCAGGCAAATCTGAATGATGAAAAAAGCCAAGGAACTAAAATAAGTTGTTGAAATCGGTCATCCCCTTGCTGTTAAATAGTATCTTTACAACCTGACTGGATCCTACTGATGCTTCCTCTTGTAACCTGAGTTTAACTGGATTTTTACAACCATACATGTTTGAGCCTTTAAAGCCAGAATCCAATTCAGAGGACAATGACTGGCTACCCTAGAGTTACCTCATCCCACTCAGACTGCATCAAAATAGTAATTTTTCTTCTTTTTATGTTAATTAGCAATATGTAACTAGCATAACTGTAGCAAAATAAGCTTAAGTTATTTCTTTGCATCATTAAGCCACCGTTTTATCCCTACCCAAAAAATCCTGAACACAGATCTGTTGAAAAACTGTTTAAGGGACACCTATGATAAAAAAAAAACATCTTTTGTAAGCTGTTTGGACAGTGTCTGCAGTCATATAAACACAATAAGTCTCTTTTTTTAATTTCTTGACGTTAAAATAGGATCCAAATCTCTTCCTTTTTAAGGCCGACCGCAATGTGACGTAGGAGTGCGGATTCCCTGCCCACCGAATTGATTGACAGCCGCATATTAGCATGTCTCCGTAGTAATGCATATAACTAAATCAACAAGACAGCTGTTGAGCTCATAACGGAAGTGAACATAACGGATATCCACACAGCAGTGGCTATTAATGTATATCCTGTCACATTTGCCGGACAAAAACAGTGCAAAGTTAAACGCGCACTGTGTGTCTCTGTGTGTGTGAACTTTGTGACAACATTGTGTGTGACTCATCGTTGCAGAAAGGCTTGAGTTAACTCCACAACAAATACATCAAATAACCATTGGGAAAGTTCTTACAGTAGTATTTCTCACAAACGTCCTGTAAGATGTATTTCATGTCTGTCACTGTGCTGTTTATCTGACACAGCTGAGGCGGAAATTGAGGCACACTTTCACAGGGATATGGGAAGAGTGGGCAGTGAGAATCAGCATTAAAGGCACAGGAAACAAATACAGCTACATTGTGTCCAAACTTCTGAAAGGTATAATAAATATTCTGATGGGTGTTTTGAGCTAAACTTTACAAACACATTCTGTAGACACAAAAGACTTATTTTAAAGCTTGAAAAAGGGGTAAAATAGGTACCCTTTAAAAGTTGGCATGAAATCAAAATGTATTCTTATTTTTATATGTATATAGAAGTGCTTGTTATAAATCTGTGCACTTTATTGCTCATTAAAAATGGATTTGCCCTCATAATCTTTAATCAAATACTGTAACCTTCCCTCCCCTCTCAAAACAACTTTTTTCACTTCTGGTCACATGGAATGCCTTTAGGGCGGAGCTACTAATGCTTTAGAGCAGGGCTATCAGTCATTTAAGGCAGGGCCATCAGGGCTATCAGTCCTTTAGGGTGGGGCTATCAGTCATTTAAGGCGGGGCTATCAGTACAGGTCTCGTTTCTGTCCTGCCTTCACTAAAGGCAGTTTTTCAAAGGAATATGATACAGTTCTGTCAATCAACATTCGTCTGGCATCTGAAAACATTCTGCACCAGAAGGTGCTGAAGGTGACGACGGTGGTGAGTAATCTTTACCAATTACAAAGTAGCATTTAAATCTTCCTTCATTTTGTTAGCAACATCCATTTTCCAACAATCCAATTGGTTCCCAAAGGATGAAATCACGCACCATTCTACATTTTTTCTCATTCCAGACACCATTTCAAGTGGATGTACAAATAAATGAATTTTAATTTCGATGTCATGCCTATTTTCATGTTTTGACACCACAGTTCAGTACTAAATACTTCAGAGTCTTTGCAATGTATTTCAGCAATACATTTATAACATTTAAAATGTGATTTGAAACAGAATTCTCTTTACCAAGACTTAAAGTTACTAGTAGTAAGATTACAACAGCAACATGTTCAGAAGGCAAGTAAATGTCCCCATAGTCCTCTAAGGGCAGCTTATGAAGCGATTTACTATATAACTGTAACCTTTTTTGTTTTTTGGCAATATGTTCTTGAGCGTTCATGGGGAAAATGTTGTGGTGGTTTCTGTGTCCAGGCCGACAGAAGATCTTCGTCTCCCGCAGTGGGTGTACATTAAGTGGCTCGTTCGGAGACATCCCAGGTCTTTCAAAAGCTTCAGAAGATCATTGCGAAACTTTACCCCAATGAAGGCGTACAGGAATGGGTTCACACAGCAGCGCATGAAGGCCACAGCCATGGTCACATCCAGAGCAAAAAGACGAGTATTGTCCTTGGCACAATCTGTTGTTTGCTGGACAGAGACTCCCATGACTACATTGTAGGGTAGCTGGCTGAAGACGAAGACAACGACCACTGCAATGATTACCTTGAAGGCTTTATTTCTCTCAAAGTTCTTGGCCTGCATGAGGGTTTTAATAATGCAGATGTAACAGAACCCCATGACGACTGCTGGGATGATAAATCCCAAGACCATCTGACTTATCACCATCTTAACATAATAGTCCTGATAGTTGACATTTGCTGAACAGGTGCCCCTGCTATTGATTTCAGCAAAAACCATGTCAGGTACAGAAAAGACGATCGCTATCACCCAGGTGACTAGAGAAGACACCTGACCATAGTAGACCGCACTGGAGCGACAACGATGAGCAGAAACAGCCTTCGTTATGGAGAAATAGCGATCAATGCTGATGCAGGTGAGGAGGAACATGCCGCTGAAGAAGCTGACCTTGTAGATAGTAAACATGGCTTTGCATGGATACAAACCCAAATGCCAAGTACTCATGAAACTAGCTGCCCAGAAGGGGAGAGAAATGGCAAACAGCAGGTCAGCCATGGCCAGATTAAACAGGTAGACATCGGTCATTGTCTTCAGCCTCTTGAAGTAAAGGTAGGTCAGGATGACCAGAAAGTTCCCCATGAGAGCCAGGAGGCAGATGATGGTGTAGATGGTGGGCAGGAACCAGGCTCGGAAAGTACGATTGTTGGTCTTATTGCAACTTTGTTCATAAATGTCATAATCTACTGTTCCTGTGGTATAATCATACTCTGTTGTAGCCTTTTCACCCATTTGGTGTTCAGTCATGTTGGACCAACTTTTCTGAAAAACAGATAATGCAAAAGTGTCATATAAAATTTCCAAGAATTTATTGGGAAAAAACATCATGATCATTTGAATTGACTACCTCACGATGGTTTGAAAACTGAACATGAACATTTGGGCAAGAGGTGCACTTTAATTTGATGGTTCTCTTAAAGCAGCGGTGTCAAACTCTGCACAGTTTAGTTCCAACCCAGCTTCAACACACTTACCTGTAGGTTTTAAACAAGCCTGAAGGCCTCAATTAGTTTGATCAGGTGTGTGTATTTAGGGTTGAAACTAAACTGTGCAGAGCTGCAGCCCTTCAGAAATGGATTTAGACATTGAAGTCCACATTTTATTTTGATGGTCCTCCACCAAAGTAGACTGAAGTGACTACCAAAATGAAATATAAACATATCTTGATTTTAAATTATTTAAAAAGGACAGTAAATTCTGACTATGCTTAGACAAAAGTCTTGTCGCTTAACAGAAATAATGTAGAGTAGAATATAAAGTCATGGTGCGGTGGAAAAACAATTAATATTGTGTTTGACTCCCATGAGCTTAGAGGACTGCATCCATACATCTCTGCAATGACTCAAAGTCTTCTGGAATGGCAAAGAAAGCATTCTTGCAGGACTCTCAGAGTTCATCAAGAATCTTTGGATTCACATTCAATACCTCCTCCTTCATCTTCTGTAGTATTTGTGATAATTGGGATGCAGATACAGATGATTCAGTGGAAAATTCGACTTTCTGCCACTTTTCCATATGATCAACTAAAAGTCAAGTTATTATTTGTTGCTCTTACAACTGGGACAGACGACAAGACTTTTGTCAGGTAGTGTAAGCAATATTGCAACTATGCAGCAACTAATTCATTTTAGAGTATTAGCAGACTCTCTGCTTAGTATCTGCTGATACTGCACCTCCAACAGACATTAAACTGAAAACTTTGTAAATACATCAACTTAAATTAACTCTAACCTTACAGTTTACTAATACTCTAATAAGTATTAATTGGTATGGAGTTGCAATGTATAGCTTGTAATCAACACAATGTCTCAAAATAAAATGGTACCTAAATTGTTTATTTATGACACAACTGTGAAATCTCTTTTTGGGACCTTAGTTTTTAATTTTGTAAATATGTTCTAATACTTTATTTATACTCTAATGACAGTTACTTGACATGTTTGTTGCAGAAAACAGAATGTCTAAAGGGGGACATCAAAAAAGCATAGCCAAGGCTTTCAGACAAATAGTCCTCCAGTGTTTGGTTGCATGCTTAGACTATTTTTCAAAATAAGTAATCTTATTTTTATTTTTAATTTAAAAATAAATTTATTTAATCTTTATCTTTATTTTATCTGGTGATCTAGTCGAGTAAACTAGTTTCTAATTTAGTAAATACGCATACAGATACCTGCCTAGGCGCAGGAAATAAGATACTTGAGCTGTAAAAGATGAGCAACCACACATTTGCTATTAAAAGGCTTGACTGTTTGATTAAAACCTTTTATATTAAGTCAAATGTGTGTTTATATACATCCTTTGTACATAGTTTTGAAATTTTTTCAAACTCGTTTCTCAAATAGAGTTGAATATGTTAATATCAATTAACTAACATAGAAAGATGCATTATAACTCTTTAGTTTAAGAACCAATTCTCACTATCTAAGGGTGTTTTATTATAATATTGGCTGTTTATTTGTACTTATAAAGTGCATAATCTGCATGTTATTGTTATTTTACATCAAGCAGAATTTTTACATTTACATTTAAGCAGAAGTTTAAAAATTAAAGGTTTATTGAGGCAAAAGTCATAGCTAATGGTCTGTTAATAGCAATAATTTTACCCTTAAAGTTTGATATTCTATTCTATTCTATTCTATTCTATTCTATTCTATTCTATTCTATTCTATTCTATTCTATTCTATTCTATTCTATTCTGATAACATTTAGTTTAAGGATCAATTCTGACCATTAACTGGTGTATTACATGTCTATTAGTAAGATATTGGACGTTTATTTGTAGTTATAAAGTACATATTCTGCATGATATTCAACACTACTAACCAACCCATAACTGCTACATTAATAACCATTATTAAGAAGCAAATTAGTAGTTTATTGAGCTAAGTCATAGTTGATTGTTTGTTAATAGCAAGAATTGTACCGTAAAAATAAAGTGTGACCTTCTAAAAGATTTACTAATCTTAGGTAGTGTTAATAAATGTAATAGTTAATATTTAAAATTGGCTCGTAAAAAATGCTGGCTTCCACACAATCAATTTGTGTTGGGACAACGTGAAGGATATAAGTTCATTTTAATTAAACATTTAAATGGATTAAACATAAAACAATTAAGTTGTCCAAACAAAATAAAAAACGTGTTGTTTCAGCTCATTTTAAATAAGTAGTTTGAACAAGCAACCCTTTTTTTTGAGTGTATTAATATTTATGTTTCTAAGTTAACAGTTAACAATATTTTGGTCACTATTTTGATGGTCAATTTGTTGAATTAAGTTCGTTGCTTCTACATCCCAAATAATTCTCATTAGATTATAAGAAGACTGTTAGGTTGGGGTTGGGGTTAGGGTTAGTGTGTTGACGTACTTGCAAAGTGTCTTGTAGTCAGTTAAATGTCAGTTGAAGGAGTAGTATCAACAGCTATTAAGCAGACAGTCTGCTCATACTTAAATGAACCATCAAAATAAAGTGTTACCAATATTTATGAACAAATACTAATTACCAGCATACGCTGAAAGAAATGCTGGGTTCCACACACAATTTCTTCTGGTTGTTCCAAACAAAATTCGATTAAGTTAACTTAAGTTCGATTAAGTTAACTCGTTTCTACAAATTTAAGTGGATTGACCTAAAAAAAATTAGGTTGTCCCCAAAAAAACCTTTTGTAAACTGTGTTGGTCCAACTCATATTCTAGAAGTAGTTTGAACCAGCACCAAAAGTGTTTTTTTTAATACAATACATCTATTGCTCTCTGCTGGTTACTGTTATATAATGCATTAATGAGAACGTATTATTATTGTTACAGATTTTCAAAAGAATATGTGAGAACTGCTGCCTCAAACGTGTGCGATAAAAGGGAACGATGACTGATTCTGTCACTGTCACGCAAGTTATAGTTCACTCAAGTTACGCAAAATGAAGAAAGTTACATTTTCTAATGATAGTAAACGATAGCAGACATCTAATTTATGCATGAAACCTCACTCTAAAATAAGAAGTTAACATGAATGGTGACTTCAGTTAATTGTGATAAAAATAATAATAAAAATACCTTTATGTGGCAAGACCATATCAGCAACACAGGACAAAACACTGCCAGTAAAAAAGACAATGGGTCAAAGAGTGCACAAAATGACAGACTTCATTCATAGATAAGATGAAACATCAAATAATATGCACAGTTCCACATTATTAGTTTCCTTTTTGAAATCTTCGACCACATCCTGTATGTGTAAATGCAAATATTTAACAGGGAAATCCAGCCGATTAACTGTTAGACTCACCGGTATACGCGTGCATGTTTGCAGATGACTTTCTGATTGAACGTCTCACTGGGGTCTGTTCACGACACAGTGAACACGAGAGCTCGTGTGTGTCTGTATGTGCTGTGCCAAAAAAAAGAAAAGAAAAAAAAATAGGTGAAGAACCACGTTTGACTTTGAAGCCAACACCAGAGGAAAGAGTTTTAACCACAGCGTGATGTGTTTCAAGAAAAACAACATCGATTCTTACCTTAGCTGAACTAGAAAGTAAGTAATAATTATAAAGAAAACTATTTACTGGTTGGCTAGATAATTTAGGATCAAAATAAGTGAGTTTTTTTAAATACTTTATTTTCTTAGATAAAAAAGCAGAACAAAGAACACTTTTAAATGACAACATACACTGTAATAGATGATTATTCATTCATTCATTTTCTTTTCGGCTTAGTCCCTTTATTAATCCGGGGTTGCCACAGCGGAATGAACTGTTTACTTATCCAGCATATGTTTTACGCAGCGGATGCCCTTCCAGCTGCAACCCATCTCTGGGAAACATCCATACACTCATTTATACTTATACACTAAAAAAAAATTTGACTGTGGGGGGATCGGGAGCACTTGGAGGAAACCCACGCGAACACGGGGAGAACATACAAACTCCACACAGAAATGCCAACTGACCCAGCCGAGGCTCGAACCAGCGACCTTTTCGCTGTGAGGTGACAGCACTACATACTGTGCCATTGTGTTGCCGTAATAAATGATTAGTTGACTTTAATTAAAAAAGTGAGTAAACCCAATGCTACGTAAATAAACAACATGCATAATTATAAAAAAATAAGTTAAACCAACTTAAAAGTTCCAAGTTACAATGGGTTACTCACTTTTTTAAAGTAAAGACCAGCATTCGCTTTTAAGACAACAGGTTTACGTAGATTTTTAAAGTAAAGCAAACAATCACTTTTACATTGTATAAACAAAGAGACATCCACTATTGACCTTATTCGGCGATGTGGAAATGCGATTGTTTTCTGTTTTAGAACTTCCGATTCAGTTGCCTATAGGAGAAATGATTATATAAATTTTTTCTCAAAACACCCATCAGATTATTTATTCTACCTTTAGAAATGTTGAAATTTTCTGCTCTAAACACCTTGTAGCTGGTTTTGTGGCCTGTGACTTTAATGCTAGCTCTCCCTGCCCACTGTTCCCACATGACTGTCAGAGTGTGCCTTAATCTCCGCCTCGGCTGCGTCAGGTAAACAGCACAGTGATAGACATGAAGGAGATCTCACGTAGCGTTTGTGAGAAATACTACAGTAAGAACTTTAACAATGAGTATTTGATGTATTTGTTGTGGAGTGAATTCAAGCCTTTATGCAATGATGAGCCACACACAATGTTGTTACAAAGTTCATGCACACACATACACACACACACAGCAAGCACGTTTAACTTTGCACTGTTTTTGCACGTAAATTTGACAGGATAAACATTAATATCCACTTCTGTATGGATATTCATTTTGTTAATGTATAAAATAAACCTGATTAAATGTTCACAAACTGGGATTGAAGCGTCTTCTTTTATAATTGTATTGACATGTGGCTGTGGTGATAAAGACGGTAAAATAGCTGTAATTCATCACAAACATGCACTGTTTTAAAAAGGTTTTAGACTTGTAAAACTCATTCTTGATCAAATTTAATGATGATTGATGATCACAAAGAGCTGAACAGACATGTCCTGTCTTGTTGATATGATTATACGCGTTTCTACGGAGACATGTTAATATACGTCTGTGAATCAATTCAGTGGGCGGGGAAACCACACTCCTACGTCACGTTGCAGTGGGCCTCAAAATGGGACAGATTTGGATCCAACTTTAACGTCAGGAAATTAAAAAAGAGACTTATTGTGTTTATATCACCCCAATATGACTGTGGACACTCTATACCTACACACGGTTCTGTCCAAACAGCTTACAAAAGATGATTTTCATCATAGGTGCCCTTTAAACCTCAGATGAATGTTTTCATTTACTTAGTTTGGTTGGTGTCACACATCGCATAAAAGGTAATTTTCAAAACTCACAATTGCTCTTTAAATACAAAAAAAAAAATTTTGCTGCTTGTTCAAATTACTTATTTAAAATGAGTTGAACACAGTTCTGGAAGCAACACAGTTCTGGAGTTTGTTTTAGGGACAACTTAATTGTTTTATGTTCAATCAACTTAAAATTGTAAAAAAAAAAAAAACATTAACTTAATCATTATTCATTGAGTCAAGATGAAGGGATTGCATGCACAGAGTATTATATTTGAGTAAAGTCTGCTCATAATCCTAAACAACACTGTAGAAGACTGCACATTTACAGCAGCAAGTCAAAATAGCTTTTTCCTCTTCTCAGTTTTGAAAGTTCCCTGTCCTCAACCACTGTCGCTCCCCCCACTAAGTTTCAACTTTGCACAGGTACATGCGCTGCTGCACGTGTGCACTTGTGGGTTTACGTGTACACTGCTGCCAGGAAAAGAGGCCTAAGCAGGAAGACGTGTTTCGGCCACAACTCAGGTGATTTGCATGGTGAAGAAGCAGTTGGTGCATGCAAAGACTGAATAAACCTCAGCAGCTACAATTACCTGTACTCTCACCTGATTGTGCAAAAACCACTGGTTCTTGTGAGGTTTTTGTTTGGGTGACGGCTAAGTGACCTGATGGTTAAGCAGAATCATAAAGAAAAACACTTTTTTTAAAGATTGTAAAATGCATTTATTTTATTTATGTGCACTCTCTTTCTTTTAATTATTTTTTGTTGTTATTAACATACAACAAATGTTATTAAAACACCTTTGTGCTAATAATATATTTACTTTTTAATCTTCTATTTATTTTGTTTTTGTTTTTATTAGATTTTTTTTGGGTGGCGCGGTGGGTAGCATGATTGCCTCACAGCAAGAAGGTTGCTGGCTCGAGCCTCGGCTGTGTAATTTGGCATTTCTGTGTGGAGTTTGCATGTTCTCCCCGTGTTGGCATGGGTTTCCTGCGGGTGCTCCGATTTCCCCCACAAGTCCAAAGACATGTGGTACAGGTGAATTTGGTAAGCTAAATTGTCCGTAGTGTATGTGTGTGAATAAGAGTGTATGGGTTTCCCAGTGATGGGCTGCAGCTGGAAGAGCATCTGCTGCGTAAAACATATGCAAAATTATTTGGCGGTTCATTCCGCTGTGGCGACCCCAGATTAATAAAAGGACTAAGCCGAAAATAAAATAAATGAATAAATATTTGATTTAAAAAAATTATTTATTCATTCATTCAGTCATTTTCATTCGGCTTAGTCCTTGATTATCAGGGGTCCCCACAGTGGAATGGACCACCAACTATTCTGGCATATGTTATACATGGCGGATGGCCTTCTAGCTGCAACACAGGCAACAGGGGGGTTCACACTGTCTTTAAAATAGGAAGAATCGCCGACAACTTTGTTCAAACTACGTCTTACAACAAAACAAGCGAGAAGTGACATGGAGAAAACGTGAGGTCATGTACTATATGTTTTTTTTATTATAATGAGAAAGAAGTCTTTCAGAAAATGTACTTATTTAGCTCAGCTGGGTTTTGAAGGGAATTAGCAATTTCTCCAAAACTTTTCTCTTTTTTGACCGGGTTGTGGTATTACTCAGATGACATGTCAAACAATGCCTGTGATTTTAGGCATTTGTTGGCAATTTCTCAAAACCGGGGCTAAAATCATGCAGTCTGAACTCAAAATAAGTATTTTGAATGTGTCAAGCTGCTGTGATCAACGCATTGTAATGTTTCTCTGTGAATATTAAACTACTGAAAGAGCTGCAGTTTATTTTGTATTTTTATAGGTATATTTTATGTTTTAAACATGTTTTAAAAGTAACTTCAAAGTATATATTATCATTTATAATTTCTTTCTTTTTTTCTTATGTAACTTACCCATCACTGCATTAAGGGAGATATGTGGGGGTGGGGGGTGGGGGGTGGGGGGTGGTATTAATTAATCAATTCTTAATTACCTGTTTCTAAATGATTTGTCTCTAAAAGTGAGGGGGACGTATTCTTTTACGTGACTTTTTTCAATTTGATGTTTCCTTTTACAGCCTTGACATTGTTGTCATGATCACCAGCGATCAGCACTCCATAGATCGCTGGAATACACGCACAATAGCTTATGGACTACAAATCTGCCATTTTTGAACTACATCTCCATACATGCACGCTGCTCACGCACGTTCCATATTCTAACTTATCACACACACCACAGGAGGATTGTCAAGGACTGATTACACACACTATTTAAGCAGCACACACACTCACACCTATCGCTGAGTCTTGTTTATATCTAGTGACAATACAATACAATACAAAGCAAATTACTTTGTCTTATTTTTCTGTGTTTTTACCCTCGCCTTGTTAGTCTGTTTATTCCTGCCTGTCGCCTACCATCTGACCTCTTGCCTATTATCTTGACTACGTTTATGGATTGCCTGTATACATCTGTTTGCCCCTGTATTGACCACTGCTTACCTGACCTTGCTATTACACCCTGCATGTGGATCCGCACCTCTGTTGTCAGTGTCACATCCCCTGGTTACAGTTGTAATGTAATTCAAATTTAATTTGTTAAATAGACTTATGCATTTGAATGTTAAAGCGTAAAAAGAGATGTAAGAGCGTTTAAACGCAGACGTCATTAGCTGCAGGCTAGCTCAGAAATTCCACTTAAATACTGGGGCAAAATTAATTTCCATATTTGAAAGATATGACCTAGAAAAATATACTTTAAAGCAGTGTTTCTTGTTTGGACTGATACCCACTTTATATCGTATCTCAGACAGGCAGTGAAGATCGCTGTATTTTTAAAGAAATCAGATCTTAAACACAACGATTTTGTATGGGATGACAATTAACCGTGAGGTTGGCGGACTAAAATTAAAAGTCCGTGTGCATATACCCCATTGAACTAGTGTGTGGTTTTAATATGTTTCTGGTGTTATAATGTATTTACAGTTTGTTATTTCCTGTCTGACCTAAGATGAACAACAACAACA